ACATGTTGCAACTCATCAAAAGCTTAGAAGACAAAATTTATGATATGAAGTGAGAGGCTCCTTATCACTCCTAAAAAACGCCTTAGTTGAACTAAAGAACAAGAACAGTGGAGCAGACTGTTCGAGAAAAAGGGATAGAGATGCGACAATATTATGTCCTAAAAAAAATAGAAGCAATCAAAGTAATATAGAAGATTATCGAACACTAAAAATAGCAACACATAATATCAATAGAATTAAAGGCAGCTTTTCCAAGTTAGATCTATTACTAGAATGAGCAAAAAAAGAAGATATTGATATAGTAGGTATCAACGAATCAAATACTACAGAGAGACAAAACAGATTTAATATTAAAAGACAAAAAGAGTACTTTAGTATATGGTCAGATGCTGAGTACAACAAGAAAAAAGGATCAGGAGTCGGACTGCTAATCAACAAAAAATAGGAAAAGCACTTAAGCCAAGTAAAAAGGAATAGTGCTTACTACTTAGAAGCCCTCTTCTTATTCAAAGATCAGAAAATATTGATAATAGTAATATATATTCTATATAACGACAAAGAAAAGAGAAAAGAGATACAACAACAAGTAATTAGATAATATAATGAATGCTATAGAAAGAATACTAAAACTATAGTTTTGGGGAATTTTAACGATATAAGAAACAAAGACCTAGACCAAAGCAGGAAAGAATCCAAATAGTCTTCCAAACTCCTACTACTAGTATAGTTTGAAAACTCTAGTATGATCGATTCATTCAAATATTTACATCTATTCGAGAAAAAATTTATGAGACTGAGCACTCTAGTAAACTCCAGAATAGATTATATTTGGCTATCTAAAGAGTTGGGAAATGGTCTAATATATTGTAACATTACTAAAGCAGACATCATAACTGGCAGTGATCATTCAATAGTAGTTGCAACAATAATGACTGGGATCATGCAAAAAACCAAATCCATAGTATATAATAGAAGACTTAAAGGCAAGCAATGGGTTTTCTAACTTGATAAAGCAAAAGAAGAGAATTGGAAAAAACTACAAAGCTAAGCTCGAAAGAACACTAGAGAAGAAACTGCTAACACAAAATGGATTCAAATATAACCAAGAAATAGAGATTCAAGACAAGGATGTTTTATAGGATTTGATATCAACTAGCATTATCAGTTGCACAAAAGCAACTCTTCCTAGAAAGAAGACCTCTTTAGGCAGCATTCAAACAACCAAGCTAAGCACTAGTGGAAAGACTAAAAAAGATTTAAAAAGAGTTGAAAGTATCAGTTAACTATGTACAAAGAAACTAGATCTTCAAATTAGTATCTCTGAGAGAGAAGTTTCAAATGCTATTATCACAGATATCAATAGCTCATATGGAACTAAAATTAAAGAGATTACAGAAGAAACCTGGACTAAAGCAAAGCTAGAAATGTTTAAGTCCTGGTAGAAGATACTATATACAAAGCTACAACAAGAAAGAAGAAAAGAAGATCTAAAAGAAATAGATATAGCAGTTAGTCAGCGATGTGAAATTATTCAAGATGAACTTAAGCATATATTAAGCAGCCTTTTAGAAAGGTTCTCTAAGCGAATAATTTTAGATAGAGTAGTTAAATCAAATAATATTGATATTACACTAGTAAATAAAGAAAAGGAAGTATTAGAAGAAGTACAAAGACACTTCAAAGCGCAATTCCGAAAAAAAAATATATAGGAAGAAAATATACCAAAAAAATGGAAGAAGATATACAACTCACTCGAAGAAATCAACTCTGAAATATATAGTGATATAGGCTGTAGTATATCAGAGGAAGAATAGGTAGAAGTATTAAAAAACACTAAACCCAAATCAGCTCCAGGCCCTTCAGGAATAAGCTACCCCTTAATCAAAAAAGTTGGACCTCTAGCACAAATAGTTTTCAGACACCTTGCAAATATTTGCATACAGGATAGAGAAATTCTGATCAAATAGAAGCTTAGCAAGTTGTATCCAATACTAAAAGAAGAAGATTGGAACTATAACTTAGCTAACGTATGGCCAATTATACTCTTAGAAGTCTTCCGCAAAACAGTAGTAAGAGTACTAACATACAGACTTAACAAAGTCTTAGTTGAAAACAATATTTTGCAAGGACCAAATTACGCAGGTCTATCTGAAGATAGCACAGCTATCTCTATATATATACTAAATAGTATAATAGAAGAGGCAAAACAAAAAAACAAAGAGCTATAGATCTTATTTCAGGATATGCGAAAAGCATTTGACTCAATGAGTCTAGCTATGCTAAAAAAAGCTCTACTAAGAATTAAACTACCAGGTATCATAGTGAACTTTATTCTGAACCTTTATGAAAAAAGAAAAATAAAAGTAGTTACAAACTATAGACTGACAGAAGAGTTCAAAGCAGAGGACAGTATTGACCAGGGAGAAGTAATCTCACCTCTAGTATAGCATATCTTCTATGATCCTCTGCTATGTGCAATTAAGGAAGCAAAAGATACAGGATACAAGATGGAAACCAAATGGCCTACAAATTTAGCGCATAATAGTACAAAGAAATAGTTTACCAACAAGCAGTATTAGCCTTTGCTGATGATACTACTTAGATAGCTAGATCCAAAACAGAGCTCCAAACAATCGTCAATATAGCACATGATTTCTACAGAATAAATGATATAGAAATCAATAACAAGAAATCTGAGCTATTAGTTTTCAACTCAGATAAGAAAACCAAAGCCAACGAAGAGTATTACACAATAAGTGTTGGCAAGAATGGAGATGCAGTACATGCAAAAGGTGATTACAACTCATGCAGATATCTGGGAGTATGGATATCTAGTAAGAGAAGCTTAAATTGCAGCCTGAATGTCATAAAAAAAGAAATCAGCAAAATGTGCAAAGCAATTAGATGGAAAAAAGCTACAGCGAGCTAATTAATTTACATAAACAATTATGTTTTGTTACTGAGTATAGAGTATAGATTGCAAATTAACTTCCTCTCGAAAGCTATCTGCGATCAATTATAAAGACTAATTTGGATCTTAATCAAAAAACAAATTAGGCTTGGCAAGCATAGTTGCAAACTCAATCTGCAGCCATAATAGTTTCTTAAATCTCAAATCAATTTGGCAAAACCAGCTAGCACAACAATTCACTGAGCTTACAATTCAGCTCAACAGACAGGACATAATAGAAGCAATCACTAGATTAAGACTAAAAGAGAGTCAACTTCAAACCAAAAGTATTACAAGTTCTACTAGCAAAGAGTTAAAGTTCAACAAAATAGTACCAAAACACAATCTAGTATATAAAATACTTTATAAAGTGGCTAAAATAGATCTATGAATCAATGAATACTCTGAAAATATAGTAAACCGAATAATACAGAAACTGAAATAATTAGTCTGTTAGGAAAAAAAGAAGCTCTTTCCTTTGCAACTACAGACAGAATGAACCTATTTACACTTGAACAACTAATTGACCGTACTGGAAAGTCACTTCTAACCTGGCAACAAATCAAATATATACAAGCATGCAAAAGCAAAGGATGTACACCAGGCTGGTTCTCTAAACTAGAACAAAAAGTTTTAAAACAAAACAGCAATAAAGAAGTGCTAGATATATACAAGTTACATAGCAAAAATGAGAAGTCAATTAGAGTTGTAGCAAAGAGAATCGCCCAAGATAGAAGGAAAAAAGAATGGTTACTAGTACTGAAAAATTACGAACCACATATAGGCAAAACTATCAAAAAGACTAGAAAAAGTATAATTGCAGAGCATTAGAAGAAAACAACAATAGCAAGAGAGAAAACAGAAATCTTCTACAAGTATAAACGATGCAACCAAGGAAAATTTAACCATAGTATATATGAATTAACTATTAAAATAAGTGATTGGTACCAGGTTATAGATGTTCATAAAGAAGAAGAAAAAATTATACTCAAAGCATCTATAGCAGCATACTTAGAAGAAAAAGAAGTAGTCTCTAACTTCAGACTATGACAAGAAGTTAGAGTAGAAATCATAGCCAACTCTCTCGAAAGTGCAATTATACATAAATCTATTAGAAATAACTCGATTAAACAGAATCTACTTGAACTAAGTGAAAAGCTAAAAGATGAAGAGACAGTAGAATTTTATACAGATGGGGCAATAGTAGCTAATAGAAAAGGTGAAAACAAGATGGGAATAGGCTGGATCGTAAAAGTAGGAAATAAATTAGCTAGAGAAATTAGTTTTAGTAGTAGTATAGGAAACTGGCCCTCTTCTACACGTGCCAACTAGGAGCTATTTGAACTGCTCTGCTAACAACTTCAGCTAGAGCACAAGTTCATATATTCACGAATAGCAAAGCAGCAATTGAAGTAATCGAAAAATCCAGAGATAATAGAAAACTCTGCAAATGGTTCAAAGCAAAAAACTGAAGTCTACTAAGGCAAATACAAGAATATTGCAAAGCTAAAAATTTTGACCTAAGTTACATAAAATTAAAAAACATAGCAGTAATGCAAGAAACGACTATGCAGATAACCTTGCTAAAAAGGGAATGTGTATACAAGATATGCTTGAGATACCAGAAGTTGTATTGAATGACATTACTTTAATACCCAAATGGAAAGAGCAGATTATTAACAGCTCTTTAAGATCTTTTGTCAACCTAACCTCAATAGCACACTATGAAACGGAGTAGTCTAAATTAAGCAAAATAACAGAAATCTTTAATGTAAACTAGGAAGAGCCTACATATGAAAGTTTTATCTAGAACAACACCTGGCAAGGCAAAAACTGTATCAGTATAAAAAAAAGCAAAGCACTTTTATTTTGTATCAAATATATAAACAGTGTATTACTGACTAAGGACATATACTTTTTAAGAAACTCAACATTATACAAAAACCAAAGATGTATTGCCTGCATCAAAAAAGATGAGTTACTATATCATATTGCAGAATACGAAATATATGTAAAGATATGGAAAAATCTAGAAGAGGAAGCCTTACAGTTAGCTGGCTTACAAGCATTAACGGAACTAGCTATTTCACTAGAAGATAGATCGTTCAGAAGTACTATTTTTGGAAATAAGCCAAATATGCATATGCAAAATAGGAAATTACTTATAAGAGGACTTACAAGTGTTAAACAACAAAGAGAAATTACAAAGTTAACTAACTCAAAAAAGAAAGCAAACAAAATTCTTTCATTTTTCTTAGATCAATTTTGGACTTGCTT